GTAGATGTGGAAGGTGAATGCTCCTCCTACAACTGTGGCTTTTGCTTGGGAGGTGAGAGGTAGTACATATTGATCATTGATAAACTGATAAGAAGGGGAAGAATTTTGGTGAATGAATATCTTCTATGCAAGAATGAAGTGAAGTCTTGTAACCGTATTCTTTTTAATGCCTGGAGGTTTCTAATATATGGACTATGGTTTATGCCTTGTTGGGAATAAGCTGGGGCATAGCAGGATCGGTTAGGGATGAATAATGAGTTTGGGAAGAAATCAGTAAGGGGAAGAAAATTGTAAATTTGACTCAATTAATTATATTTTGGTTGGTATGGAAAGAGAGGAACCGTAGAGCTTTTGAGGGGATTGAAAGGGAGTTAATTAAGATTAGGGATAGCTTGTTACGTTTTGTGGGTTCTTTGGTTTTAGGACATGATATAAATAGGATGGAAGACTTTAGGAATGTTATAGATATACTCACTGATTCGTAAATATTTTTGTACATGAGTGGTATCCTCTTGGTGCTTATGATTTAATATACTTGGTATACTTGTTGATACTTTGGTTGACTTATAAATTTTGTATATGGGCGGCACCGGCACCATCTTGGTGCCTATATCAATATATTTTTCATACTTTTTATTTCAAAAAAAAATTATAAATGATCTTTTATTAAAAATAATAATTTATTATACAATATAATACTTAAGTAAAATATAAATTTAGATTTTATTTATTCTAAATAATCATATTAAATATATTATAAAAATAATTAAAAACAAGATAAAGAAAATCTAGTTAAATGATTGTGGTAGTGCAAGTAGCAACAACGCCAATGGCTACTTGTGATTATGGGGTTTTTGAATTTTAGAAGTAAAAATGAGTATTTTGTCAATTGGAAAGAATACAGAAATAGAGAATAATTGCTAAAACTTTCAAACCGACAAGTTTGAGAGCTAAAATGGGTAATTTGTGCATTGAAAGGAATATAGAAGCAGAAGATTAATAAAGAAATAGTGATTTTCAGTTGCTAAATTTAGGAAAAACACTAAAGAAAGAAAATCTATAAAAAGCTTAAATTTGTAAAGGTGTGATTAGCAACTTCGGCTTGTGAAAACCTTATGGCCATTTTGCTCTTCAAGTTGTTTGGGGCATCCCAAATATGTCATTCTTATGCTTTTAGAAACAATGGAAGGGATAACGAATAATTTCCATTTAAAAAGTCAAAAGCTTTTGAAGGATCTTTTTTTCATCTAATTATTTTATATGGTATCCAGGGTTTATTGGAAGGGGTTAGCCACTCGTTTACAAAGAACTTCCACTTCATTGACTCAGTTAAAGCATATCTTTCATATGCTTTATTGAGGGCTTCTGTCTCACAATCCCCAGTTATATTTCAGGTTTACTTTCTTCATCTTATTTATCTTCTCTCAACTGAGCAGAACCTGCTCTATAAGAATAGCAATTCTGACTGTTAATCCTTTCTGTCAGTATGCTACAGGAATCTTCTCAGTACTTTTATTGCGATTCAGGGAAAGTCTTAAAGTATGATCACGGTCTCAATAAATACCCCTTGAAGTGCTATTTGTTTTTTCTCTCTGGAATTTTACTTTATTAGTTTGATGTATATTTTCTTGCTAACCCTGTAATTTCTTTTTAGGGTGAAATTGGTATATTCTTTCCCATTATAATTCTACGATCACTAGATGGCTCAGAATGTCCTGTCAATCAAAAGATGAGTGTCCTCCGGTACAATGCTTGCTCTGATTAATTGATTGTTGCAATTACTGAGCATATTACGTTTAATTTATTGTTTATTTGGGGCTTTGATAGTTAGTTTGTAATTTAGTTCTTGTCCTGTCTTATCTTCTAATGTAATGTTAGTCTTGCAGGATGCTTGAGAAAGTGTGCAACGATCCTCAGATGCTTGTTGATGTATATGTAAACTATGATTGTGATCTTGAGGCACCAAACTTATTTGAGCGCATGGTAGAGACTTGTTTTGTTATTCAAATATAAATTTTCAATTATCTACTTTAGTAATACTTGTCACCTTGTTATATGTGTAACACATGCATTGTTTCCAAATATTCCTTTTAGGTTACAACTCTATCTAGAATAGCTCAGGGGGTCCAAAATGCTGACCCAAATTCTGTTGCTGCATCCCAGACAACCTCAATTAAGGGTTCATCACTTCAGGTAGGTTGCTTTGTTGCCTTCTTATGGACATTAGCTCGATGAACATGCATTTTTGCCATGTTACATTTTTGTGGCGCTGTATTAGCAGAACTTGCTAGTTGAACCTTTCTTGTTTTTTCTCAGTGCCTTGTGAATGTACTTAAGTCACTCGTTGATTGGGAGAAATCACGAAGAGAATCAGAAAAAAAGAGTAAAACCAGTCAATCAAATGAAGAAGAGGGTTCTTCTGGTGAGTCTGTTGATATAAAAAGCTGGGAGGATTTTCCAAGTAATTTTGAGAAGGCAAAGGCACATAAATCTACAATTGAAGCTGCTATCTCTGAGGTAATTTATCATGTTTTGTTATTATCCTTATTTCTTCTTTCTTTGTTATTTGTCCGGATAGTGGGAACTTACCTATCTCTTATTTATGTTGCAGTTCAACAGGAAGCCAATAAAGGGTGTCGAGTATCTGATATCAAATAAGTTGGTGGAAAATAATCCTGTTTCAGTTGCTCAATTTCTAAGAAATACTCCCAGTTTAGACAAGGTAGAATCCTCTGATACATCAATAGTTTAATGTTGCTATAAGAACTGCATAACTGTTCTCTTTTTGCAGGCAGTCATTGGCGATTATCTGGGCCAACATGAGGAGTTTCCCCTTGCTGTCATGCATGCTTATGTAGATTCAATGAATTTTTCAGCAATGAAGTTTGATACTGCTATCCGTGAATTCCTTAAAGGGTTTAGACTTCCTGGAGAGGCTCAAAAGATTGACCGCATCATGGAAAAGTTTGCAGAACGGTATGTGGTGTCTGTATGGTGTAGGCATGTATGTGTTCTGACTGTTAATGTAGTTATGCATCTGAGTTAATGATCTTTAATGCATCAATTGCAAATTTGTAGTGTTTGCTCATTGGTGCAGTCGCACTTGTGTTCTTGCAGTTAATTTGGTTCTTTATTTGAGTTACTGATTTGAATTTCTCATTATGGTGGCAATTCTGTTAGAATTATATTTAAGGAAAAATGGGATAAAGAAAGCTCATCAATAGCTGTCCAGGCATTTTTAACATAGTTTTTTTTTTGTTACATCCCTGACCATTTTTTAATGGTGATTAGTCTTTTACATCTTGTTTCTGGCAGATATTGTGCAGATAATCCGGGTCTCTTTACAAATGCAGATACTGCATACGTTCTTGCATATGCAGTTATAATGTTGAATACAGATGCACATAATCCAATGGTCTGGCCTAAGATGTCAAAACCAGATTTTGTGCGTGTGAATGCCATGAATGATCCTGAAGATTGTGCCCCCAAAGAACTCCTGGAAGAGATCTATGATTCTATTGTTAAGGAGGAGATAAAAATGAAAGATGACTCAGCTGGTATTGGGAAGACCAGCAGACAAAAGCCGGAAGGTGAAGAAAAAGGTCGTCTTGTCAGTATTCTCAATCTGGCTCTTCCCAAAAGACAATCATCAACTGATGCCAAGTCTGAAAGTGAAGCTATTATTAAGCAAACACAGGCGATATTCCGGAAGCAAGGAGTGAAAAGAGGAGTCTTCTATACTGCAGAGCAGATTGAACTTGTGAGGCCCATGGTTGAGGCTGTTGGATGGTCCTTGCTTGCTACTTTCTCTGTCACTATGGAGGAAGGTGAGAATAAGCCGAGGGTTGTTCTGTGCATGGAGGGCTTCAAAGCCGGGATACACATTACATATGTTCTTGGAATGGATACCATGCGCTATGCTTTTCTGACATCTCTTGTGAGGTAAAATACTAAGTTGTTTTTTGTTTTATTTTTTGAGGAACGGAAGTTCTAATTTGTTAGCTCCTTCTATGCCCTTCGTTTTTGTTATTGCTGTAGTTTCTTATCTGTTTTGCTTTGAAACTCTTTTTTGGATATTTTTGGTCATCTATTATGCAAGAAAAGGTAACTTTTTTAATCTTTGAAATGCATTATTACGTATTTGCTTATTAGAGCAATGAGATTGGTCATGATAGTCATGTTTTTATTTGTGCACAGATTTACTTTCCTGCATGCTCCTAAAGAAATGCGTAGTAAAAATGTGGAAGCATTGCGGACTTTATTGGTCCTCTGTGACTTAGAGCCTGATACCCTTCAAGATACTTGGAATGCAGTTTTGGAATGTGTTTCACGGCTTGAATTCATCACCTCATCTCCAGCTATTGCTGCAACAGTGATGCATGGATCAAATCAGATCTCTAGGGATGCTGTTGTTCAGTCCCTAAAGAATTGGCTGGAAAGCCTGCTGAACAAGTTTTTGTAATAGTGTTAAATTACCTAGTGATCCGTTGTGGAGTTCTTCACGGCTCTCTGTGGTGTGTCAGCAGAAGAATTAAAACAAACTCCAGCTCGTGTTTTCAGCTTGCAAAAACTTGTTGAGATAAGCTATTACAACATGGCTCGTATACGCATGGTATTTTATTAAAGATCTTTTTGTCTTTCTTTCCTCTTTTATGGTGCTAGATACTTAAACAATGCGTTGGGAATGATCATATGACACTTATTTGATCATTTTAATCGGCCCAAGATGCTAAACAGAAACTGGTAGGGATTTTGATGGTAGTATCTTGTTTGAGGTGTTCCCGGTTCCTACCATCATTATGTTATTATTTTTCTGTAATTCAAGATGCGTTGAACTCTAAATTTGAATCGTAATTGAACTAATTTAATCTGTTGGCTTCGAGAAGGAACTAGTTGCTTTCATTAGTAAAATGGTATTCAGAAGACAATTCCAAAAGCTCTACGAGTTGAGGAATTTGGCCAAGGCCGATGCTGTGGATATAGTAATTGCCAACATGAGTCCATCAATTTGGTTACTTTTATTGTAGTCCCAGATTTTGGGAAGCATGTCAGTTTCATGCCATCCTTATTTCCAGGTAGTTTGTAGTTATGGAAAGAAAGTACTTCGTGCTGGTGATTGAGGGTGATACTCTGACAGTGATAGAGAATGGAAAAGGGTGAAATTCCTTAGGAGGTTGAGAAATAGCAAGTAGATACTCCCATTGATGTTTCTTTGTGCACTTTTTGTCCTTGATGGAAGTCAATATGGTGGATCTTGTGCTATCATTTTTCAAAAGTTTAACTGTATTATTCTCAAATAATAGCAATGGCTTAGCATGAAGCTCCGTTGAGAAAGTGCTTTATCTGTTGGATGTTTGTTTCTGGGCTTTGTGGCTAGTACATGACTCTAGACCTTTAAGTAGCATGTTCAACTTTGTTTATGTTTTTTGAAATATGTGAAATAATATTGCTGATTGTGACACTGCACGAAACTGTAGCAGGTTTTCCAGGCCAATTTGACTGGAAAACATACGAGTGTGGGACCCATGGAAAAATAACAGTGAAGGAAAGGATTTTGGTTGAGGAGCATCTGCAGCTAGGTTGGTAATAGGTCTCTTCAATTGGACCATGAGAGGTAGGATTCTTTAGGAATTGTTATTGAGTAGTTAGATTTAGATTGTGATATTGTAATAAAACCGGTACTATAATTCCTAGGATTGTAATAAAGATCTAAATCAATTAGCTTCCATATAGATACACTTATTATCATGAAGCTGTCTTATAAATATGCTTATCATCCTGGATAAAATTATCAACTATTAACTCGAAAAGAGTTCTTCTCTAAAAGATTTGAGATTCTCTTAGACGATCCTCATTGTAGGCCGGGAAACTGGGAAGCAAGCAGCTTCTTTTTTTTTTTTTCTAAAATAAAAAGTGATGTGTGTATTAACAAGATACCAAAAAGGGGGTATCAATCCGTAAGCATAGAGATTTAAAAAGTAGTTAATATGTCAATGATATTCGCAAAATCTTCATCCCTAACAATATCATGACCTAACAAATTAGTCCCAGAATAATTCATTCACCTATCTCTTAATTTATACAAACCTCATTATTTATGAGCTCTTGGGGATTAGTTGGGTGATTTGCGGGACAGGCTTGGGATGGGCTTAGTTGCAAATGTAATGTTGTCAATTTAATTCCTCTTAACTGTTTTTTAGGTTCTTTGGAAAGAAAGAAATGCTAGAACTATTGATAGAAAAGAATGCTCCATAAGCTATAGGCAACCGGGCACCATAAAGAAGGTGATTACATGATTCCTCAGCACACATGCAAAGATAGCACCTGTTTGCAATAATCTGCTCCCTCAATCTTAAATTGTCAATAGTGAGAATCCTTTCCCTACATGCTTCCCACGCAAAGAATGCCATTCTAGAGAGCACTTTTGTTTTCCAGATTTGCTTAATAGGGAGTTCCAGAATTCCATCATCTTCCCCACCAACCAGGAACCTGTAATATGACTGAACAGAAAAATTTTCCCTTTTCTCAAGATTCCAAATTATCTTATCCGAGTCATTTTTGATACTTTGGTTCTCAGGGTCAGCAAAAGCTCTTCATACTCCTTGATTTTCTATTCACCCTAACAGACCATTCAACACAGCCATTGCCGAACCGATAAGCTTCAGCCACCACCAAACCTTTCGAATGTGCTATCTCATAAATTCTGGGAAACATATTCTGTAATCTGTCCTCACCAGCCGACCTATCTTGCCAAAATCTGATTTTGTCCCCTTTCTCCAATTGCCATTTGGTGCAGTTAAGGAAACACGGCCATTGTTTCATGATATTCTTCCACAAGCCACGCCCAAGTGGTCTGGAACCTGCCCCAGCACCAGCCAAATCTGGACCACCCCAACGTTCAAGCACAATTTTCCTCCACAATTTGTTCTCCTCCATCAAAAACTTCCCAAGCCATTTTTTTGAAGAGCCATATTCATGCAGACTTAAGGATCTTATGCCCAATCCACCCCTATGAACCAGTGTTTTGATATCTTCTCAATTAACCAAGTGATATTTCGTATGCCCATCTTCATCCCCCCAAAGAAATCTACATTGTATAGTTTCTAGCTTTTTCGCAATTTCTTTAGGGATTGTGAGGGAGCGAAAGGTAGTTGATGCGAAGATTGGCCAACGTGCTTTCTATTAAAGTGAGACGCCCTCCCTTGGATAGAAAATTCCTCTTCCACCCCGCAAGCAGCTTCTTTACTTTGGTTCCTTATCTTAGAAGGCTCTTGAACCAGATCCTAAGTCCAGGATCATGACAGTGATCAATAATGTTAAAGCTTAATGAAGAAGTGTCCAGCTTTATTATTGATAATTTAAAGTCCTTCTTGTGCAAGCCCACTAGGCTTTAGCTCTAGAAAAAGCGCAAGGTCATCATATCTTGTGTTAAAATAAAGTTTTTATTTTATTTAAAAAGAAAAAAAAATAAAATTTTTACTTGAAATGAGTTGGCTTTAATATCATGTAAATAAGTAAGCTTTTTTTTTTTTGAAAATAAAAAGTGTCGAGTATCATTACATACAAGTACAAGGGGATGCTAACCCATGTACTTATTTATGTCAAATAAGTAAGCTGAGTTATCAAAGTGATAGGAAAAGTTCCGTCTTTTCATTTACATTCTAGTAGGATGGAATAATCTATTTTGGCCTTGTTCTTTTGTAGGCCCAAGGGCATTGTTCTTCAAGGGGTTTCCTTTGTCAATTATACAAAGAAATTAGAGAAATACTTCTTGTTAATGTTTTCTACCTTTCCCTTTTTTTTTTTCCTTTTTCTTCATAAGAGGATAAGCTATCCTCTTCTTAAGTGCACCGCTTTCTAGGTTGCCTTTGAAAATTATGCAAGGGAATTGGGAACCTATACCTTGTCAATGTTTTCTCCTTTGACTTATTTTCTTTTCTTCATAAGAGGATAACTTATTCACCCTTGTTGTATTATCTTCCGCTCATAGTAATATCTTTTTTTTTCTTACAAAAATAACATATAACCCCAATGAGGATAGCTGAATTTTAAACTATCCTTTACATGTGTTGGTGAAACGAGCTCAATATTGTTTTCAAGTATTGAGGTTATCTTAGCCTTATTGTGAATAAGTAGAACACCACATGGAGCACAGATTTGTTGATTGTAGTGTTTTACTGCTTCGATTTTGATTAATTAGGTTGTAAATATTGCTGTATTCAACTTTTCTTGAGCTATTTGTTAATTGTACCTTGCTTACTGCACTCTGCAAATTCATGATATTATTGCTTGCTTTAGCAAAATTTATTGTAGTTACTTCATTGTAAACATGCTTGCTGTTGTCTACCAGGTCTGGGCAAGAATATGGTCTGTTCTCGCAAATCATTTTATTTGTGCTGGGAGCCATCGTGATGAGAAAATTGCTATGTATGCAATAGATTCTCTTAGGCAGCTTGGAATGAAGTATTTGGAGCGTGCTGAACTCACCAATTTCACTTTTCAAAATGACATTCTTAAACCATTTGTTATCCTTATGCGGAATAGTCGAAGCGAAACCATAAGGAGCCTAATAGTTGACTGCATTGTACAAGTATGTTCCCTGCTTACACTTCTTGACCTATCAAATTAAATTATGTATCTTTTGTGTTTTTAAGTTGACTATCATAGATTTTATGGAGTCAATGCTATGAGGGAAATCTTTAAGCAGTTTCTTCTGTTTTACATTGTAGATGATAAAATCTAAAGTTGGAAGCATAAAATCAGGATGGCGCAGTGTTTTTATGATATTTACAGCAGCTGCAGACGATGAACTGGAATCTATTGTTGAAAAATCCTTTGAAAATGTTGAACAGGGTAATTGACTATCGATTTTCCAATAATTGCAGCTATCTTGTGGTGCATCAGCTTTCCCCCATCCCCAACCAACTTCTTTCAGTTTTAGTAAATCTAACACCAAGAGCTTTTGCAGTTATATTGGAACACTTTGATCAGGTAGTTGGAGATTGTTTTATGGACTGCGTCAACTGTCTTATCAGGTTTGCCAATAATAAGACTTCTCATCGTATAAGTTTAAAGGCTATTGCACTTTTGCGAATATGT